ACAAGGTCTATTTTTTTTAATTTCGATTGTTTTTTTGGCCTATTTTGATAATTCTCCCATTTTTTTTTAGCTCGGGGCCTAGAAAATATCAGGGGCTGCTCTGCGTCGAAGCCACTGATAGAAAGAGGAACTCGACAGCTCTGGTTTTGTAGCTTCGAATTTTGTGTGTTTCCGAGCTTCTTCGCATCAATGGTGAGACGTTGATCTGTCTTCCTCTTTAGCTTTTCCTTGGATCTTTTGAGTTTCCTGATTTTTATTCTTCGTCTTCTGTGCGCAGTCAGTAACTTTGCACACGAATCTGGGCGATATCAAGTGTGAGATCTTCTGTGACGAGGTTCCCAAGAGTGCTGAGGTTTGTTCTTCTCCGATGATCCAAAGCTGACGCAATTAACAATTTTCAGATGATTTTCTAGTTATGGATTTTGATTAGTTAGCGATTATCGCTCTTGTGTTGAGGATTTTTTTTCGCTCAATCTCTAGATTCTTTAAATCCGTTTGGCGAAATTAGGGTTGCATGGATGCTATGATGGGGGAAATTCTTTTCCCTGAATAATAGTTACCACCTGATTTTTGTGTTGTCCTCCATTAGTTATTGTCTCTTGATCTCTCTGAGCTGTTTCTCTCAGACATTGATGGGAGTTTTTGTATGAAGCACCTTAACCTTTAGCTTTGATTTCCATTCTGTTGCAGAACTTTTTGGCTCTATGTGCTAGTGGCTACTACGATGGTACTATATTTCATAGGAATATCAAAGGGTTCATGATTCAAGGAGGAGACCCAAATGGGACTGGTAAAGGTGGAACTAGCATTTGGGGCAAGAAATTCAACGATGAGATACGAGAGTCCCTTAAGGTATCTGAGCTCTATTTCCTGTTTATCCTCTCAACTGTGGTTTTATTCATCTTGTTGCCAAGGGATCATAAATGTGATGCTACTGTGTCTTGATAATCCATGTTAGCAGCCATAAGTATAGGGTTCTGTTAGCTCAAAACCCATAAGACTTAGATAAACCTATGAGGTATAAAGTAGCTGAGTACATCCTGATATGTTCCTTTTTACTGTAAGATAAGTATCAATGTACTTTGGTGGTCAAGTGGTCATGTACCTGCCATAACCTTACTCATAACCATTACTGCAAGCCACTTGAGAACTTTTTACTTCCATAGAACTAGGCAACGGATTATGAGTATGTTGTGGATGAGATGACCATATCTATTACTAGTTGAATCCTGTTTCGTACTTGATAATATGACTGATGCCACTCTCTTATGCAGCACAATGCAAGAGGGATGCTGTCAATGGCAAACAGTGGCCCAAACACCAATGGAAGCCAGTTCTTCATAACCTATGCAAAACAACCACATCTCAATGGATTATACACCATCTTTGGCAAAGTCATTCATGGCTTCGAAGTGCTTGACATTATGGAGAAGGTAAACAAAACGTTTTGTCCCCTTTTTTTTTTTTACCTAAAAAATCACCTCAGCTCCAAACATAGATTGAATTTTCATGTTTTGTTCCCTACTTACTGTGAGTGTTGTAAGGTTAGGCTGAATGGAGTGTTGAAGAAGAGGATTTATTGATCTGAATTTGTTTAACAAAACTCGTCTAATGATTTGAATGATGTGATTGTGAGCTCTTGCAGACTCAAACAGGACCCAGAGATAGGCCGCTTGCCGAGATAAGGCTAAACCGTGTGACGATCCACGCCAATCCCCTTGCTGGTTAAAACAAATGTCTGCAGAACCGAATCAAGCTCTAATGTTCTCTTCATTTGTTTTCGGTAAAGCTGACATGCTCACGAACCACTGTTTCACCTCTCTCTTAAAAAAAGTATGTGCTGGATTTTACCAATCATTGTACTTTGAAAGGGGTTTTGTATTTGTTACACAATACCTGTCTTTTCTAGTAATATAAGTTGTTAGTTGAGGCTTATATTAA